GACAGCCTTTGGGCTTAGGTACCCTCGCAACAATGGGCCTGGGTCAAACTTGAACCACCAGGGGACCACAGGTTTTAGTCCTTGGTTCCTTTTGCCAGGGTTCCATTTAGGGTACCTATTTTTGACTCACAGCCAAATATCTGTTGAAAAGCGAACCCGAAAAAAGCAAACCAGATTGTGCTGAGTTAAGCCAAAGGGTTGGTAGACCTTGGTTGTGGTCAAGTACAGACCTTTCAATGAAAGGAAACAAAAGGACGCATCAAAATCAGATGCGTCAAAGTATTGTTTCGGACCCTGAAATTAGATTTTGGGTTCCCTTTGAACCAAACTGAAAAGGGTATACCCTCAAACTTGGGTTGCCCCTTTTCAACAGGCCGAAGCTGGCGTCTGCGCTTGTGAGGCGAAACCTTTTGCGGTCGACCTTTTGCCAACGGTAGACGGAGTCCAAAAGCTGAACAAGCACAACTCACCTAAAGTAAGACACGCCCGGTTCCAGGAAAGGAGCTTTCATCCTCGGTCGCAAAAAACAAACCATGAACTTGCCCAATGCCCAGCTTAATCTTGCTGGTGCTCAGGGAATGAGACAGGGTTCTGGGAATGAACCTAGCGATTTTTAGGGAACCAGCAGTTGGATGTGTTTTTTTTTTCTCGGGGTCATGAGCCATTCCCTGCTTCCCTGCTTTGATTTAGCAAGTCTGAGGATCTTCTTAATGAACTTCTCCGGGTATGTGAACTTCTCCAGCTCGCTTAAGAGATCATTCACGTTCTGAAGGAAGGTCTGCGTAGACTTGGCGTCCAGATGCCCCACCTTGTGCACCTCACTGAGATGGGTGTGGCTGGGGTTGCGCAGGTTTCGGTCTTTGTGTCCATCCCAGGGGCCCAAAAGTGGTACCAGTTTTTTGAGCCACAGCCAGATGGGCCCCTTTTTTGGGTCCCCGTCCTTCGACCTTCAGCGATTCTGTGGCCAATCTGCCAATCCTTTAGGGCGTGGTTGCAGGTTCTTTGGCAGCGCTGTTGCAGTTGGCTCCCTGAGCTTTGCTTTTATGATACCAAGACCGACTGGAAACTCTACAGGGAATCAACTCGTTTTGACCGGGGCTTGTTGGCCGATGTAAATGGCGGTGGGCCAAAAAACATGGACTAAAACATGCGGTCCCCTGGTGGTTTGATTCTGACCCATGCCCAAATGTCCAGTTGGTTTCTATGAAACATCTTGATCCCAACCGGCCTGGTCCATGAGCTCAGATCGCAGCAGTGAGCCCAGGTAGAGTTTGAACCACTGGGGCTCCTCTTCAACATTTGCTTCAGCCCCCGGAAAAAAAAAAACAACAACAACCATATTTCCAGTAGTCATAGATTCGCTTTAAAACCAACAGGAGAAAAAATATTCGTTTCAGCAAATGGAAGTCCTGTAGCTCACTAAACTCCTCTGGCTGGAGCTGTCGCTTCTCCTGGCAGCAATCAAAGAAGAAGCTTGCGAACTTCCGTGGAACTAACCTCCGTTCGCTTTCTCGTCCCAAGGAAACAAGTTAATATATATATATATATATATAAACAGTAGTGATAGATTCCCTAAAAAAACCAACAGGGGAAATCGACAAATCCTATTGTGCAAATGGAAGCTAGTTGAGTGTGGTTTCTTTGAGAAAGGCACTGCGCGTGGGAAAACTTTATGCGTGCCTCAAAGCGTTAACCTTTTCCGCAATTTCGTGGGGTCACCCTTCGATGCAATGGCCCTTCAACAACATGGTTGTGCCGGGTCGACCATCAAACACTCGGTTAGTGTTGCGTTGTTTACTTTCGCGGGGTGAAAAGAGAGCGAGAGAGAAAGGGACAGAGTAAAATCATAGATGAGAGAAAACACAACAGAGGAACAAAAACAAAACCAATAACAATGTAAATAGAGAAAAGAGGGACAAAGGAGCGCTCCATACAATAGGTCTCATCTTCCGTCCCCGGCTTCACTGGACACAATCTGCAAAGCAACGAACCACGGAGGAAACAACGGAGTAAACAAATACAAACAGGCTCCGGGTTTCTACTTCGCGTCCTTTTTTCCTGCATTCTCCGTGTTTTGCGTCTCATTCTGCGTCTCATTCTGCGTCCCATTCTGCGTCTCAGGCTCATGTCTAAAGGCATTGGGGTTCTCCAAGGAGATGCGGAAGAGTGCCAGGCGACGCAGGAGTTGAGGATGCCTGAGGCTCGGGGCGACAAACGAGTGCCATCCACCCAAAGGTTGAATTTCCCCATACTCGCTGTCGGCTTGGCGGCCACTGAAGAAACCCTGGCAGGGGCAAGTTACCGGAAGTGTCCTGCAAATCACAGAGTAAATCTTCGCAATACTAAATTTACCCACAGCCCACGAAGGTTGCCGTCACCCCCGAATCACCCTTGTCCTGCCCAGGGTTTCGGTTTAGGGTATGGGTTTAGGTCTTAGATTTTGGGTTCAGAATTTAAGTTCAGGGTTTTGGGTTTAGGGTTCAGGTTTAGGGCGCAGGTT